AAGAGGACAATATAGTAGAAACCTCAAGAAAGGGGAGGTTGGGAAATCCACCGTCTAGAAACCTGATAGAAAATTTAAAATATGTTAACTGTACACTTAGTACTTGGTGAAAATAATAAACTTACTGTATCTACCGAATGTATGAGACATCACTGTATTGTCAGTCCTGGCTTTTAATATTGAGTATAACTTGAGCTATTTTGAGAAGAGAGGGAAGAATCCTGCCGGAACCCCAGGTCTGGCCGTGTTGTTTTTGGTGCTACAGTTGATAATTTTTGAGGGAAATATAAGATTGTTTCAGCATTAGGGGCAACATGACAAGACTATCCGTGTGTGGTCAGTCCGTGGCTTCCTGAATCTCTGTGAAGCCTTCTTCTCCTTCTTTAGAGTGGACAGAGGCTGCATTGTCTCCCGGGTCACTCTTCCCTCTAGAGTCCCACATTAATTAGCCCATTTTCTAGCAGAGTATGGTGCCCTAAATCCAAGGGGATTGTGTCTTCCTACCTGCTCTGAAGGTGATTAGGGGTCAGCTCCTTCCATCTTTAGATTCCTAAAGAGAACCAGAACACCCAGCACAAAAAATAAATTCCATCAGAATTTATTTGAATAAAAGATGGCAGTTTTTAAGTGACTTCAAAATTTATCAACTAATTGCTTGCACTGATACGTGAAGACGTATCAGTAAAGTATGAACTTTAAAGGGTGTATAGATTATTCTTAAATTTTAAGATATCTTTTAAGTGAAGCAAAGTATCTTTGTAAAACTACTAAGGACAAATTCTCTGACATCTTGTAGCAAATAATTTTCACTTAATTAAGGCGATGTTTGAAGTGCTCAGTTGAAACTTTAAAGTATCAAGGATAGAAACACAAAGTTTTCCACTAGCTGGATTTTTCTCATGAGATTTTATCAACAAAGCAGTCTTAACTGCTTTCAAACACAGGAGTGGTTGGCGGCCAATATTTTCAATAGTGTTTGTAACATTTTTACCATTATCTACTGAACATCATCATCGATCATGTTTAATTAGGAACATACTTTAAATCAGTGTCCGATCACCTTCATGTGGATTCTCATTCCTACAGCTCTCGTGTGTGGGTACTATTGTTATCCTCATCTGACAGATGATAAAGTCGAGGACTCTAGATGATAATTCCCTAACAACTGGTAAACTTTATTCATCTCCTAGTCACCAGGACTAGTACTAAGTATGGAAGAGCTAACATACGAAATGTCTGCTAATGGATGGAGTGATCCATTCATAGCCACAATAACAACTGTGAAAAGGGAAAGAAAGAAAACCCACAAAGTCGGACCCCATCCTCAGTGAGTGCGCATTTCTAATGACTACTTTTAATAAATTTGCTGAAGGTCTGATTACATCAATCACCCAAATTTTCAAGTTTGCATTTTTATATCAACAGGAGAAATATATGCGCAGCTTGTTTATAAGTTGCTTGATAACAATTTAGGGACAAACACCCCCAATCCAGATACCTCTCAATTTCTTTGGGGCTCTTGGGAGGGGTACATTAGAGATGAGAATAGCATTATCTAGTTACCATGTGATATTTACAGTCTGAACTGCTCATGGTGGCTTGTGCCTGTGTGATCCTAGTATAGGGAGGATGAGGCTAGCCTGGGACACAGAATGAGACCCTGTGTCGAAACAAAAACAAAACTAACAACCTTACAGCTAGAGAAAGGCAGCATAGAAAATGGTGGTAGTCAGTAGGAGCGATCAAATATGAGCAAGATACAATGATACCAGTATGAAAGTGTCATAACAAAACTAATTATTGTGTTTATTAACTTAAACGTTGATAAAAGATAAAGCTATAGTCTATGGAGTCCTCCCTCTCTTACAAGAGCAGACACGATGCCAAGGCTAAGCCCAAACATTTGCCATTTAAATGACTTCGACAAATAGAGCATCATTTCCTTTATGGGCAGATGAGAACGGACCGTAATATCTTATAGCACAAATAATTGCATTCATACTCACCACAATGTTTGAGATACATCTCCAAAATAAATTTCAAATATCGAGCGAAGTGAATTAGTTTTTAAGAAGGTACTAAAAAGAATGGAAGTGACTTTCCTGCATGGCTAGTTGATATCCCTTAGGCAGACTAAGAGTCTCTCTTAGATTCTGAAAGAATTCATTTTTATCTTTTATTTTAGTTCTATGCAGAGCAGATAACCCAGTACATTCTTAATAAAAAATTCATGCACAGAGTATTCACGGAGAAATAGAATGGCCAAAGATAAGCATCATTTCCCTACCATCTAGCTAACTTTATAGCAGAAAACTCTGAGATGCAAAAAAAGACCGGTAATGAGAAATATATTTCAAATAATAAAACAGTCTAGCTAAATACCTAAATGAGGTTCACTTTGTCCAACCTCAAAGCTCTTTTTGCTTTGAAAAGCAACAGTTCCCACAAATTGACTAGTAATTATTCACTTGTCTTCAAATCACAAACCCTTTACAAAGCAGACCTTGTGAAGCAGAGGCTGTATTTCCGTCGGGAAGCAGGGAGAGCACACGGAAGAGCTGGTTAGACTCGCAGGGTCCTAGACACACCAACCTCACCCTCAACTTGCAAATTGCTTCCCCACTACAACTAAGGCAGGATTATGCTTTAAAAAGCTGGTTTTGATGTAGCAAAACATCGTTAGTTAATTAACGGTGAACCTATTTCTTACCTCTCTTCATCACCCAAACACTTTAATCTGTGGTCCCACTCCAAGCCTGGGAGCGCCGGACTCTCAGTCACCCTTCATCAGACTTGCTTGGGCTGAGCACTGTTCCTCTTTTCATTCTGGTCAGTCAGTTCCTTCTTTGTCTCCTCCTTTCAGATTATTTAATACTTGCAAAGTTTCCTGGTTCTAGAGGAAGTTGTTATCAGGCACCGCAGAATGATAAATGACCCTCCCTCCTTATAGGTAGAACTTCTTAAAGTGTATGTATATTAAGTCAATACATCAAGTGTAGGTGATAGTTCTTTTCTGAACAACATTTACAATGCTCAGTTTAGAATCAATCTTGAACTTTTTAAAAGAGGCTTTAAAAACTCATACCAACATACAGTTTGAGTGCTTTTGTTTGTTTGCTTTGTGATTGGTAGAACAATCCTCATTTAAATATGAAGCTGCAATTATACCCCCAAGTAAAATCCATACCTGCTGCACTAGTGCCCTGATTTTGGTAAGAATGTCCTATCATCATCATCATCATCATCATTACATTCATTAAATAGGAGTTTCCGAAAGAATGTCCTGAGGCATTCTGCTGTGGGATCTGCTATGCGATCTTCCATCCGGTAAATTTGTTCTTTTTGTTAGGAGACTCCCAGGGCATCAGGACATTAGAGACTGGCAGCAGTCTGATAGCAAGCAAACAAACCAAAAGTAGCAGGAAAGAAAAATTGCTTTGTTGTGCTTAATAACAATCCGTTCCTAACAATAGGTAGCCTACGACTTTAAAAAAAAAAATGATTACCCAGGAAATCCATAGAGGAGAAACACCACAATTAATCCTAGTTTTTAAATAAGCAGAAGCACAAAAACAGTTTATCTACTCCCCAGTGCCACATACCCGGTGTCTATATCACCTGATTCAATGGCTGGAACGCCACGTTTCCCCATATAATCTTTCTGTGGTATCATCCCTAAGAGCCAGTGTTGCAGAATACAAAAGGAAGAACGGCTGCATTAAACACATAATCAGCGAGTTAAATAGAAAATCTAGAAACAAGCACAGAAATATCACCTTTAAGATTGTATTGAACTTCCTTTGTGCCACAGGACTAACCTTGTGTAAACTGGTTTTAAAGAAGAGGGCAGCTGGGGGTGTAGATTAGTAACAGAGCATTTGCCTAGTGTGTGCAAGATTTCTGCATTCAATTGCCAGCAAACAAAACCAAACCCCACTGGACTTCCTTGTTGAGACGCTACTCTGATGTTGGAAGAGCTACGCTGTCATCAGTGCATGCTGGACATTGTCATTGCGCTCAACTACAGGGGTGTGGCAGTGAATATACCCTTGGTAGCACTTGGAAACAAGCAGAAGAAGCCACTGGACCCACAGATCTTTCAGAGTATGAAAGTAAGGCTAAGAAATATACAGTTATGGGGAACAACGGGGAGCAGGAAAGCAGGCATGAAGCTCAGGGTGGACAGAAAACGAAGATCTGAAACAACGAAGAGGGGTCCCCCCAAAGTCCCAAAAGGGGCAGTGAAACTGTGAGCAACATGTGCTCCACTACCTCCTGGAGCACTTGGATGCAGTAAGGTATTAGCTGTCCTTTGATGTCACACCACATACACCACATACACACACATGTAAGCACACATGCGCACACACATACACACACTCATGCGTGCTCCCATTTGTATAAATTCATGTCGTCAGCTCTAACAGTGATACTAAGGAAAATTAACTCCTATTACTTTAAAATGTATTAAGGACAAATAAGTCAGAGAGCTGTCACCTGGCACTTAACTAAACAGGAATATTTTTAAGTAATAAAATTAATCTCTAGGATTATGAAAGAAACACTGTATATGCTCAAAATTAAATTACTGTGTAATTATTGCTTTTTTGGCTCAGGTATTATGTTTTGCACCGCGTGTTTTCATACTTCACAACCTTTGATATAGCGCAATACCTCCTGCTTTTCTTCCCAAAAGTTTTTCTTTTAAGCACAATAATTGTGTTTAAAAAGATTTCCTTTGCTCATTTTCTTTTTTCTTCTTTGTCTTTCACCCCTCTACAGTTTGGGTAGCAAAGAGCTTGGAAGATAGTTTATTGCCTGGCAATATAATTTAGACAGGACAATTAATTTAAGTATGTTTCCCCTCTACAGATTGATGGTAGCAATTTATGTTGTGTCAAATATTTATTTGCTTTAACAATAGAGTTTTTTAATGCTTGAGCCAAGTTGCATTAATGACGGTAGGCATGGGCAAATAACTTTGCATGTAAATTCTATCTAAAAGTTGACTATACTCATGAAATTTCCCTGGGTACCCTATAAAGGACTCAAAGGCATCATGTTATTTGCTACAGATAGTACAGGAATCTACATCTTAAACTAAAGCATTATATTGACTGATATAGATAGCATATTTAAAGAGCAAATTATTTATTATGTATAGGTTTATGGGATTAATCAACAAAGTAAGCAGGCTGTTAATAGAAAAAGTCTTCTAATCAGTAAAGTTTGTATGTGTGTGGGAAAAGTCATGAAAAAAATTAAAGTGTGGAAATGAGTAAGTGCAGGTGAATGGAGAAGGCATAGAGGAACAGGGTCAAAACAAAATCATTGTTATGCCAAGGGCCCAGTTTGGTAGCATTTGGAACTGGAGCAATAATATTTTACAGACTGAGCAGTGAGACTGGTCAAATATTGCAGTATTTGGCATTGTTTCCATTACTATATGCCATCTGTGTACCCAAATAAATGGTTATTATTGATTGACCACCATCTCTAGCTGAGGTGTGGCCCTGTGCTATGCTCTACTCCAGACGGCCCAGCTGAGGAGGAGGAAGCCTGTGACAACTCACACGTATGTTGTGCAGATACAGAGGGCCAACTGCATTCATCGGCTATAGCATCTATCTACTTTCCCATTCTCTCCCATGACATTTCCATGCACAGACTGCATGAGTGAAAAGACTACAGATGCTTCTCCATCCCAGCTGCAACATTCCACATCCTTCGCAGTACTAAGGAAAATTTCTCAGGACAGGCTGGCAAACAGAACCTTTGAATTCCTGAACACGGATGTTTGTAGTCCTACTGAATTCCAAATGGTTGCCAGTGTGGGATCCCTTTTATACACAGCTCCGAGCAATATATGAGAGACCCCTCTCTTTTGTCTCCCTTATCAGTATTTGATATGTTGCCAATTGTGAGTGTTTACACATATAGCAAGCGAAAACCCCAATGTTATTTGTTGGTTTGCTTTTGCTACCTTAGAGCTGAATGCATTTGTCCCTGAGGTGCTCCCCGTCTAGGGCAGGGAATCTGTGGGAACAAGGCTTAGTTTCATCTTTCCATCCTGCCATTACTTAAAAAAAAATGTAACCTAATCTTTTATAAGGAAAATTTACATTTTTAAATTATTTTAATTTCTGGGAAAAACTGTAGAAATCTAACCTGTACATAAATATCCAGCCACCGGAAATTATGAAGGACAAATTCATTTCAAAAGACTCTAGAGAATGAGTCTTGAGAGGTGTTTCTCTGGCAAGGGACATCTGAGAACCATGAAGTCTGCCCCTTACTCTCAACTCTTCTCAGACTTAACAGAGCACACTGTTGCAGTTCCTTTTGGGAACTTGCAAAGGCTAGATCATATCCCACAGCTAAAAAGGAAGACCAAAACAGAGCAAAGTAAAAGACAAAAATTCTGCCCTTAGATGTATGTTCTATAGTGATAAGTGCCATTTCCTTTCATAACGGTTGTAGCCACAATGACCCAGATCTATAGCGATTGCTTGTAAGTCCACCAGAAGGAAAAATGGGAAAATAAAGCACGGTAAATTTCTAAAAATGAGTGACAGACAGCCACAAAATAAGCAAATCACTGACATGCATGGCACGGCGGATGATCATACTGTGAAATTATAGAAGTCACGTGCAAAAGAGTGCAGCCAGCATGACTCCATTTACATGGAACCCCAAACAAGGCGACTATCCAGAAATGTGTGATGGTAGAAGTTGGAAGTGCTGAAGGGTCTGTAGGCTTGGAAACATGACTAGAGCTTCCCTAGAGATACTATGTAACATCATCTTCATGGTGGTTAATTGAGCACTGAAGATTGTGGATCTTATACATTAGATTGTGTCTTATATATAAGACAACTGTTTATATAATGTTGCTTTATATATATATATGTATATATATATATATGAAATTAATAGGAAAGAAATTTTAATTGGCATAAATTTAGGACAATTTAAGTATATTTTAATTTAATTTGGTTATTGTATTTTTGGACAAACTATTCTAGGAGATAGCATGGTGGAAAACTTTAAAAGCTGTCAGTGGACTTTGAAGAGGTGGATTCTACGTTTTCTGGACCTTACTGAACCTAGGAGTTGGTGAGACTCTAAGGGTGAGGAAAAAGTAGGTCTAATGACTTGAGCCTCACGTCAAAGCAAAGTTTTTTTATTTTCTGAGATTATGAGTGCTCTTGTTGCTGCAGGTAGATTTCCTCATGGTTTCCATTCCCCCAAATTCATTTATAACCTAAAACCACAAAGGCATATAATAATTTAACCTAAAAAAAAAAAACTAGCATTGTTGGAAAAAAAAAAAACCACTACTTTGAATCTTGCTTTTTTGCACCAAAAGAAAACAAAGGATGCTGAGATCCCCGTTTTTTCTTCACATATCACCGAGTTCAAATGAACTGCATCAATATGATTGCCACCACAGTGAGATGCTGCCTGAAACTGGGTGTCACGTCTAACACATACTTCCTTCCAAGTCCATTCCCCCTCCTTTCTTCACGTAGGTCTTTCCTAACTGCGATCAGATCAGATAATGGGACTTGAGGCTTGCTTCAGCTTCAGTTGAACAACACCTCCCTCTTCTTCCCCCTTTTATTTTTTGTCATGAAAATAAATGAAAATTGAAAAATTTAGTATCCAGTGCACGTGAAAAGAAACGGAACGATTTCACTCCTCCAGGATTGAAACAATGGACTGGGAAGGCCGGCATCTCTTAAGCAAATATCCCTTGCCTCGGACTGGATGTTGCTTTCTCAAGTCTTATAGATACACATAACTTTGGCAAATCTTTGTGTTCATCTGATGAGATTACTTTCGACT